CCATTTCAAGTTCTACCTCCTGCAGTAAGACTTTCTGATCCTCAGTCCCCACCCCTGGATCCCCAAAGCTTACTCATCATGGCACTCTGTACTCCTTACCTAAACAGTTTTTGGAGTCTCTATTTTTTATTTTACATACCATTTTTATGAGTATTTTTTCCTACTACAAAGCCTTTGAGAACATACTTAGCATGGATTCACGCCTGTCTCTTGGCCAGCAACTTCTCCCATACAGAAAGGTCTGGAAGAGGCTGTTGATGACTCACAAGCCTTTCTTCTCACAGTCATCCCTCTCCATGCAGGATCTTCCATCAAGATTCCAGTGGTATTTAGTAAATATATTTAAAAACTACCAGCAACTTTTGGGGCTCCTCGCCCATGGAGTTTAGAGTCACAAGTTTCAAAAACCATAGAAGTATCCTTTTTTGAAAAAAAAAAACTTGCACCAGAGACACATACATCTATGACTATAGATTGCACAATGGCCATGAAGAGCTGGTGCAAGAGAAGAGTTCAGACTCTGGACTGGGAAATGCAGCGCACACACACATGGGTCTCAAAGCATTAGTAGCATCTGAGGAGCTAGGCAGTCTTAGCCGCCACGCAGAACGGCGCTCAGCAGGAGGGTCTGAGATGATGCCACACTTTCTACAACACCCATCTACCACTGTCGGTGCTAAAAATATGGCTGTGAACAAAGGTATTGTAAGCTGTGACCCTGGCCATAATGGATGACAAACGAATAAAAACATAATTAGTGTAAGTGACAAGTGATGTGAGGACAATTAGGACAATAATTTGGTCTGGGACACAGAAAGTAGAGAGAATGCCTGGCACAGGGTGGCAGTGACAAGCTAGAAGGAGACTATCTCAGCGTAGACTAGAGAAGGAGAGTAGGCAGGTGCGGGGGTGGCCGGGTCAAGACCACAGAGGGAAGGAGCAGTGGCACCTGCCTTGGCAGAGAGCTGGAGTTCTCCAGGATGGGGAGAGCGCTGGTGAAAGCCGCAGTTGAGGAAGGCAGAGGGAGGAAGGGCCCCAGAGACAGCACAGAGGAGACTCCAGCTTCCACTCTGGGTGACTTAGGGGCCTTAGAGCTTCTCAGTGGGGCAAGGACATGGCAGGACTTGGATATCAAGCGGGCCACGTTGTCTTTGCGTTCAGTTTAGGCTGGGTGTGATGGCTAATCTTGACTATCCATTTTACTATAGCTGGAATTAACTAAAACTCAAGAAGCTGGGCACAGCTGAAGGATATTTTCCTTGGTTGTATTATCTGATGTGAAAGACCCTCTCTGATGTGGATCCTTGGCCTTTCTATCAGGAGATAAACACTGTTGTACTATTTGGACCACAGGCTGCAAATGACACTAATAAATCCCCTTTTAATATGAATACACACACACACACACACACACACTCTAACTAATGCATTTTGATTAGGGATATAGGTGGAGGCAGAGAATTCTGTCCAGATGAGAGACGGTGGTGGCAGAAAAGGAAGAGAATGTAAAGACAGCAAGAAACGTTCTTCACATATTTTGAAAGTAAAGATGAGAGATTCTTCTGTTGGATTTAATGCAAAGGATGAAAAGACAAAACAAACAAACAAACAAAACTAGAAATAAGTCAGGTGTTTGGCCCAAAAAGAAAAAGCTGGAAAGTGTGTCAACATCTCCTATGGTGGGAAAAGATCTGGGAGCTGGAGAGTGGGCTGGGGCGTGGTCAGTTACGACGCTCACTTACATCTGATGAAAAGAGTGGAGCTGCAATCGGGTGTGTGACTCTAGCACTCTGAAATCTAGAGGCTAAGAATGTGACATCCGATCCTGTGAGCCTGGACGATGCAGGACAACTGGGGAATGCGTGCAGATGGAGAAGGGGCACAAAGACTGCACCAGGAGCACCCCGGGGCGCCAAGGGTGGAGAATGAGGAGCCACAGAGAACTGTGCAAGAAGGAAGAAGAGCAGGGGGTGCAAGGGCAGGGCTAGGAGGGAACAGTGTCTCAGATGCCAAGTGGTAAGAGGTTCATGGACAAGGAAAGGCCAGCTCTGCAGAACTAACCAGAGTTAAAGAGTAATAGGTCAGACGAGAGGCCACGGGAATCACTACTGTAGCGGTACAGCAGGGGAGGAGAACGCCTGGATGAGTGAGCATAGCAGAAAGGGGAGGATGGAAGTGGTGATGACATGGAGATACGACTCCAATCAGGAGCGTGCTGACTCGCTTATGTCAACTTAATGCAAGCACGTTATCTGAAAGGAGGGAGCACAGCTGGGAAAATGCCTCCTTGCATCCATCTGTAGGGCAGTTTCCTAATGAGTGATTGGTGGAGGAGTGCCCAGCCCATTATGGTTGGAGCTGGCCTGGGCTGGCCCTGGGTTCTGTAAGAAAGCAGCCTGAGCAAGCCAGTAAGCAGCATCCCTTTGTGGCCTCTGCATAAGCTCCTATCTCCAGGTTCCTGACCTGTTTGAGTTCCTTCGATGATGAGTAGCAATATGGAAGTGTAAGCCAAACAATCCCTTTCCTCCCCAACTTCATTTTGGTCATAGTGTTTCATTGCAGAAATAGAAACACTAAGACAAAGAGTTTTGCTAAAGGCTGTGAGAAAAGGGGGTGGTGTTAAACCAATGGACTTGGTCACTGTGACCTCATATTTCACTGAAGAGAAACTGAGACAGCACAAAAGGTTAAGCCAAGCCCTTTCCTGAAGCTCAGAGGAAAGCCATTCTCGGTGTATTTGTGATTTTCACCAAATCAGCAGCAGCTTGAAATCTCTCAAGAGGACTCACAATGCAGAAGGCCTACCACACGCTTCTGTCCAATTATCTTGGAAGTTAGCTATATGAGCTGCGTTGGCCAATGGAATGTGAGCAAGCACACCTTGGGACTGTTCCTGTGCCAACTCCAGGCCATCTTCTCCAATCATCTGCTTCTGCAATGAAGACTGCACAGTGGCTGCCGAAGTGGCTGAGGCTCCAGAATTGGACACCACAGAGTCTTGTTTATCCCAGCCAGCAGGCTGCAGCTAATCCTCTCCATCATGAACTGTGAACCAGACACACTGTGTCTGCTCGTAGGTTATATGGCATTTGGGAATCATCTGTTCTTGAAGCAAAGGCCGAGTGGAGTGCTCTTGCCCTGCGCTGCCCCAGTCCTCCAGGAAAATAGGCCCTGACAGCCCTCACAATGTGGGAAGGTCCCAGGCCCCTAAGGAAAATCTAAGTAATAGGGTGAGAGTCAGCCTGTCTATGGTAACTTTGGGGTAGAAGTCTAGGGTTAGCTCACATCCCTGCCTCTCACACATTGGTTATACTACCATAAGCTCCTTTAATGTCATGTTGACAGTCACCCCTGCCTCCCATTTTGCTCCACAATGCCACTCTATGGAGTGATGGAGGAATAATCAAGAACAACCAAGTCATCAAGTATGACAAATGTGGAGCTTGATGTGGCCATCATATAAACCATAAATGGTGTGACATGGTTGAGGTGGAGTAGCCAATAGCAGTTTTAACTGTGCGTGTGAGGCTTGGCACCACGTTACTTTTCAGTCTGAGATGCTCTATAATGTCTGCCCCTCTTGCATAAGAAAGCAGGTCGAGCAATCCAAGATCAGCAAGCCCATAAGCAGTATTCCCTGTGGCCTCTGCTTCAGTTTCTGTCCTGAGTTCCTGCCCTGACTTCCGTCAGGGATAGAGTGTGATCTGCGAGTTGTGAGCTGAAATAAACCCTTCCTTCCACAAGTCGCTTTGATCATGGTGTTTATCACAGCAATAGGAGCCCTAACCAAGGCACCAGCTCCTGTTTTCATCAACTCACCAAGTTCCCCACCTGGGCTAGACAGAAGCTGAACAGAAATCAGGGAGAATAAAGGGCACAATGCTGGGCTTCAGGGAGCCTTACTGCAGTTGAAAAGACAGGAGAACCATGCAAACATGGAAGACAAGCAAGAATGATAGCCTTAATTCTTTAAACGTGGTATGGTATGGCAGAAAGGGCAGATAGGAAACCAGGTCTAGCCCTTATTCTGTTGCTAATTAATTAAGACCCTCCCCTAATTCTACACACCCACCTGATGGGGAGAGCCACTAGGCAGCTTCCTGGGGCTTTATGAATCTAAGATGCTATCAAGCAGTAAGAATGCCCTCAGGGGCTAAGCACAGGGCTATTCTCAAAGGATGTCTGTTTTCCTGCCCTGGCCATGTGACCACATAAGTCACAGGCTTACCGATCCAAGACATACTTCTTCCCAGACTCCCAGATTGAAGAGGATGAGGGAGAAGAACCCTATAGACTCTATAGTATACTGATTGCTTCCTTCCTCAGGAGCAGGTTGCTTGTGGTTTGCTGTAGCCAAGAGGTACCTGAAGCTCCTGAGCTCACAGCCTCTACACAGGGAGAGAGGGAGTCTGTGTGGCTGATATCCTGGAGGGCAGCAAGTCTCCCCATACACAGTTCTGAGAGTTTGGCCCCTCTCCCTGGCAGAAACCTGTTTTCTGGGTAGCAGGTATCATGTCCCTGTGTGCAGCTAAGGCTGCCCCAAGCGTATGCAGAGGAAATGGCAGGGGACTGAGCTTTCAGAATGTCTAGTGATGCCTTCTTGACATTCTTTGGGGGGAAATACAGAGAGCAGAATTAATCTCATGAGCTAAGGTAGACGAGGGGTTAGCCTTCTGTGGCCCAGGCTCCTCTGCTGTAAATGTGTGCATTCAGATGTTGGCACACAAATGCACATAGCCCAAGGGGCCCTTTATCTACCTAGCCTAGGCTGTCTTCCTTTGGTTGTGTGACTCCTGGAAACATTCCCTGGGTTTCTGCAGAAGCTGGGCCCCATGTGCTTGGTGCATTTGCGCCAGGACTTCAACTTTAAATCAGAGACTTGTCTATAAGAAAACTTTCCATTCGTAGAAACCAGCACTTCGCAAAATGCTCCTGTTGCTTCGGCAAAGGAAAAAGAGCAGTTATGAGAACATTGTCAAGAGGAACAGGGCTTTACTTACTTGGGACTCCAGACACCAGCCGCAGGGGACGAAGCACGCGGAAAGCCCTCAGCGCCTTCACATCGAATCCAGCTCCTTTCCCTCCTAGCGCATTGGCCCCATCGGCTTTGGTGGCTTGTTCTAAAATTGCACTAAAAAGCCTAGAAGAGAGGGGAGAGAGGAGCCATCAGGACCCCAGCTGGTCGCTCAGCTGGGCTCCAGTCCAAGAACCCAGCCCAGACTGCTGGAGTCTGTCACAGGTGTGGCCACTGGCGGCCCATGAAAGGCTACAAGTTAATATTCCATCAGCGGGTGTATCAGACACACGGGGAGGGGACGCTTCCCACAGAGAGTGCTGAGTGGGTGAGGGGCAGCCCTTTGCTGTCAGTGTGCGGCTGTACTTGACCTGGGTGAGCTAGGGTCCTGGCACAGCTGCCGAGGCACAGGAACAACGCGGGAAGTCTAATCCTCTCTCAAGTGCTGTCATCACTGCTGTGACTCCAGCTTCCCTGCCAGGAGAGCGGGGAGTCACGTGCTCTGTGCCTACTCCTCCATCCTCATGACCACGCTGGAGCCACGTGCTCCCTGCCTGCTCTTCCATCCTGATGGTCACCTAGGTGTGATTTGTTCCAGAGAACAACAACAAAAATCACCGAAATCCACCTCACTCGTGCACGTAGCTGCCGCCAAGGAGCCACATATTGAACAAATGAATAAATGGCTGAAGGGGTCGCTGGGAGAGCTTCAAGCAGAACCCACCAGCCTGCGCAGACACAACACTAAAACACATAAATGTCTGCTCTCTAACGATGTGTCTGAGATGGCGCATCTCCAACAAACACAAGCACCTCCTGTTGCAGGCACTGTGTTAGATGCTTAGGTGGGAGCAGAAGGGAGCAGTCTGGCTCTGAGCTTCAGTAAACCAGACCTCGTAGTGTGTGATACTTGGAAAAAGAAGGGGTCTGTAGTGACACAGGTAAGAGACAAGTCTTTGAATAGGGGGCAGCTCAGAAAGGAACCCTGCTCTGGTGATATTTTAGAAGAGAATGAGTGTGTGGCCTCTGCTGCTGTCTGGGGACCACTCCAGGCAGAGAAGTGGTTGGAACAGCGATCCTGAGAGATGCAAGGTGAGATGTTAGGGGACAACAAACTGCCAGAACAACTGGGAGAGAGAAAATGGGAAGAAGGTGAAGGTGGATAGGAAGGAGGGGCCCCACAGGAAACCTGGGCAGGAGAGGAAATCAGTCTGAGTGAGGTCTGACTAAGTCCAATGGTGCCGGCAGTGGGCAGTCAAGGGCAGGCCGGAGCAGGCTGCCGCAGTGGCCCAGGGGGAGAGGCTGGGGCTCAGGCCAGGTGACAACTGGGAGCTGGTGAGATCAGACGCTGGATTTATTTTTAAGATGGAGCTAGTAGGACTGGTACTGGACTAGTTGGGAAGGGTAAGGGGACAAGCAGGAGATGTGACTCCATCAGTCTGGGCTGGAGCCATAGGAAGGACGAATGGGGCGGCACAGGCACCCACATGCTACTGCCACCTTCTCCACGTCTGGGCTGACTGCGGTGTGTCTGATGGTTTTCCGAGCTGCTATCATGTGTCTGGAGGTCAGAAGAAGGTCTAGGATAGAGACAAAACTGCCTTCTGTACAGGGTGTATGAGGGTTGGACAGCCTGAGGTCTGGTTGGAAGTCGGAGTGAGAAGACTGGACCATAGGGTCCTCCCACACTGTGGAGGCAATCGGAGAACAAATCGGAGAAGGAGACTGATGAGGAGCCGTTTGTGGGCAGCAGACTTGGTACTCCATGGAGACTGTGAACAGCGAGATAGATGGCCATGGCCAACGGTCCAGAGCCGAAGACTCTTGTGGGAAACTAACCACTTCATTTAGCACAAGCAGGGCCTCTGAGACCTAGAAAATACCCGATGTGGGGGGCAATGGAGGAAGGCCTAGTAGAGAGGCCCAGGAGAGAGTGGCAAAAGCTGGAGCCAGTGAGAATAGCAAGCTTTGCCTGAAAGAAGTACAAAGAAGCCCAGATGTGAGCCAAGTGAGCAACCTTTTCAGCTGCCATGCCAATAAAGTAAAAGGAGGTGAAGTAACTATGGAGACACGTTTATCCAGATCAACACTATAAAAATACAGCATCTCAACATATAGTTTAAAAAGAGGCTATTTGTTATCCTTTGTTTTATATTCAATTTTTGAAATATGTCGTATGTTTTTACGTGTGCTGTACCCTTCAGTTTCAGGTGCCGTGACTGCATATGACTCTAGGTTGGCATAGAGCAACTCTCTGGAACTCCCTGCAGAGAAGAACGAAAGTGGGTGTTGTATAGCGTTTGTGTGAGATGGGAGTCATCTGACAAAAGAGCTGGTGGTGCAGAATGGGGAGGACTCACATCCTTCAGAAGGCAGGAAGGGATGCTTTTGTGGTACCCTGAGGATGCTGGCTTTATAAGGGGCAAAGTTCAGTTGAACAGAAGCTAACCAACCTTCTGGTGGAGAGGGAAGAGAAGCCCTGCTAGGGGGTCCGCTTTTCTTTAAGAGACCTAGAGAGGTACATTATAAGGTCATGAATACGGTATAGAGACATAGGAAAGCTCTCTTCTGTTTGCATTTTCCCTTGGGGAAAGTCTTTCCCAGGGTACCAGCTGGAAATCTGAAGAGAGGGGCATCATGGGAGCGTTCGAAGAGGGTAGCAAAGCTGCGGAAGAGTGACCCAAGAAAGCGAAGAGGGGGTAGAGTGGGGTCACAAGGAAGGATTGCTGGGTACTAACAAAGGCCAATTTGACACTGCAGTTCTGTATTTCTGTGTTCGGGTACCAATATTTCCATGTAGTTGGACGGGATCTGGGCAGGTGTTTTTCTCCAGGCAAACAAGTCAAGCAAAGTTAAGAGAGAGTGGGCCAAGGGTCCATGCTAGTGTGGTTATGATGATGGAGAGTGGCCCTAAACTGATTGGAGGGAAAAGGCCAGGAGTGGAGGAGGCAAAGGTACAAACAGAAGGTAGCAGGGTGAAGTCATGGTATCTGAGGGAGGAAGCTGCAGAGAGGTAAGGTTAGGAGCAGCATTTGATAGGCCACTCTCACACAAGGAGGGTATTTTATTAGTCACGACAGAGAAACTAGCTGTGGATAGGGAAGGGGCAGTGGAGATGGGACGGGGGTCACGATCTCTGGGGAAGAGAGTTCCCAGGAGTCGAGAAGCGAGAGGCATGATGGCACGTGAGTATTAAGGAGAATGTGAGTGGCCCGTGCCTTCTTGGACAAGGAAGAGGGACTCACAGGTGAGTGGAGGGTTGTGACAAGTGTCGGGTACAGAGTCTGATGACAGATGACAAAGGTAGAAACAGAAGCTCCCTCCCACTCCCCCAGCAGAGTGAAGCCTCTGTCCCCAGTGACTATGGGGAGGCAGGGCTGTGAGGAGAGCCCGACAGGGAACGGGGCCATCAGACAGAAAGCCGAGGGTTCAGCAGGTGGGTCACCTGCTGGCAAATGAAGTTTAACCGAAAGGCAGTTAGTTCTACACTCCCATTTACACACTGCCAGCCTCCTGGTACAGGCAGGCCTAAGCAGTGAGGACAGACACTACATAGCTCTTATGCTGACGGCTTCCATCTGACCCTTTCGAAATGGTGTTTGTAGACCCCTGGGACAGGTGGGTGTGGGGGGGAGTGGGCGGTCTCAGCAGGACAGGGGTAAAAGGAAGGGCTTAGCCAGGAGGATACCTGATTAGGGATGGCCCAGAATTCTAGGTGTTTGGTGTCAATGGAGAGAAACAGGGAGAACAGCTTGAGTGAGTCTTTCGTACCTAGAAAGGCCGTTCCAATCACTGCAGCCAAGTGTGCTGGGTGATGTGTCTATCTACATGAATGAGGATAACATTAATGAAGAAGCCCGGTATTCGAATTGGGTTCACTATCACAGCCAGTGAGACAGAGGAGTGAATGGGGACCAGGTGTAGAGGGGAGGTGGGAGGGAGGAGAGAACTGGACAGGAAGAGGGAGGGGAAACTGTGACTGGGACGTAAAATAAAAAAATAATAAATAAAAATAGAAAACAGAATCGCAACTCATATACTCATAAAAGAAAAAAGGAAGTTCGGCTGCCTCTGATAGGGCCCAGATCTAAAGTCTCTGAGTTCCTTCCCTCTGTAGGGCACTCTGAGTCTTTGGGCATTGTGCTCACATGGCCTGAGTCTGGGGCAGAAGCTGCCAGGATGAGGACAGTGGGTCCACAAGGGAAGGATCTTTCCACCAAAATCTACAGCTGGGGCCAACAGAATCAGAGACCAGTTTGCAAGTCGGTCACACGATTTTGTTCACAGTGCATGCAGAAGAAAGCAGCAGACCTACCAAAGGGCAGGAGGGTCACAAAAGAGAATTCCGTGAGGGTAACAGATGTGGAAGACTTTCTTCTCCTCAGCCCCGCCCCCTCCAGCTTGGAACACTTTAGTGAGGTCTGCTTTTAATGGAGGAGGGGTAGAAAATTCAGGCATGCTGTAGGAGGAGCTCTCGGGTAGGAGCACCCAAGTATATCACCTGGATTAGAGGCTGTGTCCCTGATTCCTAAGAGCGTAGTTCCAATGTCCTGCTGGGCTGGGGGCATGACAAATATTTCTATAGCCAGGCCTTAGCAATTTTAACAGAGAAAGATAAGAAGCCAGAGAGCCCTGAGAATCAGTTACAGAGTCATCCTGAAAGGGTGCTGGGGATACAGCAGAAGGCTTTGTGGCTGGCTAGAGCCCCTTGAATGGGGACCTTCTGAGGAGTCCATATTTCTTGGGTTGTGCAGAAGCAGGTGGCTCACAGAGAGGGCTCTGAAGTCTCCTCTATATTCTCTCAGTCACCCCTTCTTCCCATCAGACCAGAGAGATCACGCTACTTTGGGAAGGAACTACCTCTTAGCTCATGCCACCAGCATGGCAATCAGACACACGAAGGACAGTTGGCTGTAGTCAGAGTCCCCTCTGATCTGGTGGAGGTCTCAAGAAACCTTCCCAGATGTAGCTCTAGAGGAAGGAACAGGAGGAAATACTTCCCAAAAGACAGAGAGGCAAAGGAGAATTCACTTTCTACTGTAAAGGGCTAAAAGGAGGTGTGGCTTAGAGAGAAGGGGTAACGCTTATCCTCTGGGGGCAGGGAATATTTTCCTAGTTAGAAAGAAAGCTAGGATTTAGACTTGATGTGAGACTTATAGGGTTAATACAGAAACCTAGCTGCAAAATACGGCTTCTTGTGAGATCAATGAGGGATACCCCGAAGACCACAGTAGACTGCAAGCTGAGCAAGTGGTATTTGAAGAATCCCAAGTCTGGATACTTCACATCTCAGCCCAGAGCCCAGGCAGGGAGTAGAATATGGGCGGACCCTGTGAAAAGTTGGCTGAGTGCTAGCAGTAAGGAGCCAGATTCTAAGGGGTGAAGCAGGGGCCAACAAGGTACTAACAGACAAGCACCGGCCAGTGATGCACTAGCTCCTGTGGTCTGGGCACAAAAGTGCTGAATCCCACCTCCAAGGCTCCTGTGTGAGGTCCCTCTTAGTCTTGTTTCCACTTCCCATGCTCCAGCTGAGGCCATGAACGGGCAGAGCCCATCAAATGACACCACTGTTGTGGAATAATCTTCCTGTACACAGTGAGGATGTATGTGTCTTTGGCAAGGCGCCTTCTGATTGGTTTAGTAAAGAGCTGAATGGCCAATAGCTAGATAGAAAGAGGTTAGTGAGACTTCTGGGTGGAGAGAGGGTGAGGAGGAGATGATCCTAGGCATGGGAGAGATGTACACGGAGAGGAAACAGGAGATGCAAGATGGAAGAAAGGTAAAAAGCCATGAGACAGAATGTAGATTAATATAAATGGGTTAATTTTAAGTTATAAGAGCTAGTGGGATTTGGCCTATACTATAGGCCAAGCTTTCATAACTAATAATAAGTTTCCATGTCATTTTTTTGTGAGCTCTAAGTCCAAAGAAAAATCTGCCTACACAACACCTTCCATGAGGACGGGAAGAGACGTGTAGTGTCTGCCCAAGGCAAATGGTCCCTGCAGGTCACAGAGCCTCCACCGTGTTCAGAAGCACTGGCTCTTTCCTGCTTGTGTCATGGACTCCCAGGACACATTGAGAAAGATCCTGAACTTCTAAAAGGTTTAAAGGGCTGCCAGCAAGCCATCTTTGAGACAGTTGCTAAGGCATGCTAAGGTGCGCTTGGTTCATTCCGATCTTAGTTTCTTCTGTTGGGAGCCAAAGCAGTGAAACCCTTCACAGAAGTGTGTCCTTCCCCAATCTTTGAACCAGATCTGGACTCGGCTAATAACCAATGACCTCGGTGCGCCTCATTTCTCTTTAGTACACTTCAACGTTCATGTGGCCAGAGAGCATCATTCATTGGCCAAGCCATATGAGACTAACAGAAAAAAAAATATTTTAACCCTTAGGAGCTGTCTGGATGGCCAAGGACAAGGAAGTCACTATGAAGGCCTCCTTGGCTCCTGTGTTATTTTCTGCAGTGACAAACGATCGGTGCTCCTCAGAATCATGAGCAATGGGTGCTCTGGAGAAGCCACCAGGGCCTGGGTCTCCACAGGGACAGCACAAAGGATTCACCAAAAAGAAGCTCCAGGGATAAGAGCCTCCTGACATCCTGCACTTGGCACTGGAGCCTGCCAGACTCGGGAAAAGTAACTGGCAGAGCGGCTGCCCTGGAAGTGACTTCCAATGGCCCCAGCTCAGAGGAGCTGATGTGTGGTTGCTTGGAAGCTGCTGTAAAGGCAGCTCCATTTTCAAAACACTCCAGTATGGCTGGACTTCCACTGCTGTCTTAATATGGCGTGCTTCCCTCATACTCCCTTAATATACCGTTAGAAACAGGTATATTAAGGAGAGTCTTTTGGGGAAGTTGCTAACTTCGCTATTTTTTTTTCAAGCTTCTGAATAAGGCAACACTTTTCTCCTGGCCAGGAGGGTAAGCTCTGAAAGAACAAAACACAGAGAGAGGGAGGGGCACTTGGGTTCATTCTAACACAGGTGGTGATTGTGTCTTTTATTATTGTTTGGGGTCTGACATCAGTGAAAGTGGGGGTCTTAAAAGAAGGGATGCACAGGAAATGAAGCAGGGAGGAGTCAGCCATTTCAATCAAGAAAGTAGCAGGGCTTTTGTGTAAACAAAGGCTGTGGGAGGGGGAAATGAAAGCATTTGCATAGAAGTTTTATAAGTTGGGGAAGATTAAAAAAATCTGAATTCCTTGCCATAAGACACAAATTATATAGTATTTGATAGAAAAGACTCGGAGCAAATGTTTCTTAAAAACCCCTCGTCTCACTTTTGAACAGTCATTTTCTTCAAACTAATTACGAAGGCACCGTTCTTCTATCCTGACCAAAGGAAAGAAACTGCAATAGAGGGGGTATTTGTTTAGTAGTGGTTGGCTCAGCACGCCTGAGTTAGGCCTCCAGTACAGGGTATCAATTACCCCATCTAGTTCCTCTACATGGTTTAAGGTGAGCCTGCCTCCCAGGGTTGGTCCCTTGGCCAGGAGACTGGCTTGGTCTCTTTGGAATGTTCGGTCTCCACTCATGCCAGAATTTACTCTCTTGGCCAGGATGAGTTTTCTCTTGGGCCTTCATTACTATTTTTACATTCTGCCTCCCTAAAGGGGTAACCCTAGAATCATTTAGGAGCCAGTTAAGAAATCAGAGCTCCCTAGACACTGTTAGTATCACTGGCTTCTGGCAAGAGTCCCAAGGACATTTCTGGCTTTTAGTCAAGAAAAAAAAAAAAAACTGATCATTTTTTTTTTCTGGAGAATTTACAAACTTCTTGATAAAGAGATCACAGTTTCCAATTTTTAAAATTTAAATTTTATGTGAGATTTTATGCCTTTATATTTTTAAATTTTATTTTTTGAGAATTTCATACATATATACAATGAAATGCAATTATACCTACTCCTGCTTTACCCTCCCAGCTCTCCCATATTCTCCCAACACATCTCCTTCCCAACTTTATGATGTTTTTTTTTTTTTATTTACACACCACGGAATTCAGTCAGATATGTGTGGATCCATCCACTGGAGCATGGAAAACTTATCAGTGTCCACACCCTTACAAAAAGAATAATTCTCCTTCTCCCAGCAGCTATTATCTGCTAGTAGTTCCTCAGTAAGGCACGGGGCCTGTGGACCATCGACCCGGTGCTTGCTTGTTCTCGTGCAGGTGATGGCAGCCGCACTGAGTTCATGAGCGCTACAGCCATGCCGTGTCCACAGGACACTGCTGCACGGCCCCTCTTCTACAGTGTTCCTTAAGCTGTGGTGGAGGTGGTGGGGGGGGTGGGAGTGGGAGTAAAAGTGGGGGTGGGGGTGTTGGTATTGGTAGGAGTGGTGGTGATGGGGGTGAGAGTGGTGGGGTGCTGGTGGGGGTCAGGGTGCATATGCACACATACAGTGACATGTGGGAGGGGTGGTAAGTTTATAATTTCTCTCTTGGGGGGGCAGTCTGATTTTTAACCGATCCTTTCACTGTGCAGACCTTTTCATGGAAGGCAAATTCGGTTACATCAGATCAGAGGTAGGAATACGCAGGGAAAGAGGCACGGGCAGGCAAGGTTAGGAAAAAGAACAAAACTTCCGCACTTACCCTACGACCACAATTATAAAATCTAGTAAATTCCAACCATTGCGGAGGTAAGCGTTGGGGTGAAAGAGAAGTCCATAGGCAATTACTTTTAAAAATGCTTCCACGGTAAAAATTATGAGAAAGAGATATTCCACTCGCTCCTAGGAAACAAACATAGAAAAGAGAGAAAAATAAATCAGTAAGTTCAGGGACTCGGGAAGTTCAGACGCAGCAGAGTTCACAGGTGCTGCCGCACTCAGCACAAGGCTTCAGCCTGCCATGGACTGTGTGCTCAGTGTGGTACCAGCGGAGCACATGGCCTGTAACGTCACTGGTGTCGCTGCTTGTAAAAGCACACTGGGATGCTATCTCACTGGTAAAATGGTCTACTGATATGCTTCCCAGAATGCAAGGCGGTGGCCAACAATGGTGAGGACAGGTGAGCACAGGGCTGGACTTGCAGCCTGCAAGCTGTGTAGATGACAGCCCCTCCAACACCAGAGCTCCAGCTGGAGGAGAGTACAGAGATTTGTTGTTGTTTTCAAATGCTGTTGTTAAAATGTAAATTAGGACCATGCAAAACTTCCACTCCCAAAGAGTCATTTAACCAGATACCATTTTGCTGTGCCTTCTAAAGTGAGAACTCAGATGGTCTTGGTCTCCAGGGGAATGAGACCAGGACAGTGGGGATTAGAAGCAGGTGAGCTGAGCCCTAGCAATACTGTGCCAGGCTTCTGTTAACAAGCCCCAAGGGCAGCAGGCTGGGTTTCATGAGGGGACCAGCTGACATCCAAAATAAATGTAAAAACACTGCCCTGAAGAAATTGAGGGTATCAATTTCTGAACAGAGGCAATATGTGGATCCCGAAATTTGAGATCTCTCTTGTGGGAAAACAGCTCTCTGTCCAAAGACACACTGTAGGTAACCAACCTACAGGAGCTGAGCAGGGACTAGGTGGTGAATATAAAAGCCTGCTTTTCTTCTCAAGGGGCAGAGCAACCTTTTCTACCCTAACACCTAGGAGAAACATTGGTGCTTAGCATGTAATTCTTATCCTAACTGCACTCACCTGAATCAACTCTGGGAAGCACATATTTTTCTGCTTAACCACTGTTTCCCTCTCTCTACCCTAACACAGAGCCTGGGGGCACAACCTGGTGGAGACTGCTTGGGTCCCTTCATTCTCCACAGCTCTGCCTTGTAGGAGTCTCAGGCGGCCTCTTCCCGGAGCCAGAAAACACCAGGCAGGGACAGTTTATCCTAGGTCACAAAGCAGGCCGGGGCCAGTCCACAGCCTCCAAGAGGCTCACAGCTCAGGATCTTAAGATCCATGTCCCCCCCTCTGCCAGGCCAAGGAACACTCACTGAAGACCTCTGGGCCCATACACAAACAAGCCACATACCAGAGAGGCCCATTGCCCATGACAGCTTGCCATCTTCCATGAAGGCCTTCTCTGGGGGTTACACAGGTTCTGGGAACTCTGTGGGAAACTAGGCCAGCACAGATGGCCAGTACTTCTTGTCACTCTTCCCATCCCTAGACATCTAGGAGCACCAGGCTCACCGTGAGGAGTCCTGGGAAAAACAATCTGTGGCCTCGATGGTAAACAAGACAATTCTAGGCCTCATCCAGAGCTGCCAGAGAAGGTCACCTGGCTATGGTGCCTAGGAAAAGGGGTGAGCTACACAATTGCAGGGGGGGGCTTGAGACCAAGTCTAAGAACTAAGGACCCACGTGCTGCTGAAGCCCTCAAGCAGGTGGGAACAATGGGGAAGAAGTGAGCGGTCAGTCGGGTTTAACCAGCACCTCAGGTCCTTTACTTCTACTTCTTTTAGCACCAACAAATTGGCCTGCAGATGTGACTGCCTTGTTCTAGGGAGCAGGACCAATCTACCCTGCATGGTAGGGTCAACGTCTTTGTATCAGATGGTGCTGGGTTAGAACAGAGCCCTGCACATTGAAGGGACAAGCAGGTCACAGAAGGTGCTACTATAGCCTGAGGATGGTGGGAGAAGAAGCTGTCAGTCACTCACTGGTCTCTACACTCCGCCCCAGGATAGCTAAGAGCTGCATTAAACACCAGAAAACATTCTATTTCTATTCATACTCCCCAACCCCCCACAACTCCACCCCCATCCAGACTCCCCAGCCCTCCACAGCTCCACCCCCATCTGGAGTCCCCAGCCCTCCACAGCATCTCACTCAGTTGGAGGTGCGGTGACAAGAAAACTAAAGCGAACAGATACAAGTTGGGTAGCACCGCCAGGTTCCGTGTGTTTCCACTCATGAAAACCTTCATTGCTTTTGTTTTTATTCACTTGCCCACCCACATACCCAACTACTAGGCATGCACGTACCTTTCTTCCCATGCATCCAGCCCATTCATCCGTGTATGCATCTACCCATCTACCCATTCATTATCCATCCATCCATACACATATCCACAAATTTATCCATGCCTGTGTCCTTGCTTCTGTCCACTCAGTCATTCACCTATCCATCTCACTCAATCCTCCAGGACAACTAGGATACAATCAGATAGACTGCTAGAAACTGACTCTGAGTTTCCTCTCAGCTGTCTGGACAATAAGCATCCTGGAAGAGACAGCACCCAAGTTCGGATTTTACCCCTCCTCAGGAAGAGCTGCTGCGGTGTCCCAAAGACTCCTAGGGCCCTATATTCTGGGAAACCTGAATTCCTACATGGCTTTAATAAACAGCTGGAACTCTTGATCCAGATTACCTGGCATCAAGAAAAAGTCTGCTTGTCCCCACATCACTGGTTGGTTTCCTGGCATGAAAAGAGAGCACCATAAGGAGGTGGGCCCCTCAACGTGGTGCAGATGCAGACAGCAGGTTTGCACATCCAGGGTGTGACATACCATTCTGCTCCCTGTGATAGGAGGATGGGAGATCTAAAGTCTTTTCTTTGTTCCATTTGAACTGAATCAAACCTTCGTGAAGACTATCACAAACATGTTTATGCATACTGTTGGATGCTGGAGATTCTTGGGGAGGGGCAGGCTCTGAAACTGACCCTAGCGGTCTGGTACAACAGAGCGGGAGCTGTAAATGCACAGGCAGTGCCAGCACAGCTGTGAATGGTGCCGAGGGCAAGCACTGTTGGCTGTGGAAAAACAAAGTTGGGGTCTGAGTTGACTCCGCAGGGATGAGATGAAGAAGGTTGGGAAGCGGGAATACAGAGTATAGCTTGGAGGCCAGACACTCCAGGAGGAGAGAAACTGAAGTGGGAAGATCAAACAAGGAGAAAACCAAGGAGAAAAATCAACCAGCTATAATGTAGTGTGAGAACAGATCCATAGGGTGGCAAGGGCAAGACACTTAGGGGTTTGTGGACATTCCTGAACATTAGGGGCCAGTGTTTGGAAGGGATCCATGCAGAAGTTATGGGCTAGGCTGGACTGGACGTACTGGTGATGAGCCATGCAGAGGCAGGTCTTGCTGCAGAGTTCAGTTGACAGGTAGGACTCAATGAGGCCTCCCAGGGAGGACACAGACTAGAGAGAAGTCTGGAGGATGATCCAGTGGAGTCAGGAAAATAGGAAAGCAATGTGCACATTCTGGCAGACATGACAGGACCCTGCTTCAAGTCACGGAGTGGCATACAATGGTCTAATTAACCTCCTCTTGACACAGAAGAGAGACGGACACCAGGGAGAAAGGAGACAAGAGGATGAGAACCCAGGCTCCCTGACATTCATTCAGTCCCAAGGTCTGTTTGCTGTGGGACAATGGTCTTGTACCCTGTAAAGATCTGTCAACTTGTATTGGTTTAATAAAACGCTGATTGGCCAGTAGCCAGGCAGGAACTATAGGCGGGGCAACCAGAATATGAGAATTCTGGGAAGAGGAAAGGCTCAGTCTGCAGTCGTCACCGAGACACAGAGGGAGCAAGATGAGAATGCCTCATTGATTTAAAAAAAGGTACCAAGCTATGGGGTTAACACAGACAAGAATTACGGGTTCAGATATAAGAGTTAGTGAATAAGAAGCCTGAGCTAATAGGTCAACCAGTTTATAATTAATGTAGGCCTCTGTGTGTTTCTTTGGGACTGAATGGCTGTAGGACCTGGAAGGACAGAAGTCTCTGTCAATGTCTGTTCAGCTCATGCTGCCTCCCAGGAACCACGGAAACCTTTCTCACGGGCCCCCACTTACTCTCCAAGAATAGGTTCAAAGCCCTTGTGATAAGTTGTCTAAAGGTCTGAGATAGAACTGAAAGGGGCGCACACCTTTAATTTCAGCACTTGGGAGGCAAAGCAGGCAAGTCTCTGAGTTCTAAGACAACCTGGTCTACCAAAGGAATTTCAGGCCAGTCAGGGCTGCATAGTGAGGTAAACAGTGGCAAATGCATCAAAAATATCAAATGTGGGGAAAGCATGATGTTCAGAAGGAGAGCAAGAAAGGGAAGCATTTGGTGACGAGAGGACAGAATGCAGGCAAATGAAACAACCATGAGAGAGGACAGGAAGCTAATTGGGGTTTTTTGGCTTGTTTTTTTTTGAACTACACACACACATACACACACACACACACACTCACCCTGTCTCTCTCTGAGGGTAAGTCCACAAGAATGTAATTGATAGTCCAAGTGTGAAGGCCGAGCAAAGCTCTATGGCTCTGGAATGCCTATTCCCTGAGATGCGCAGTTTGGGGCTGGGCAAGTGTCTGTTAGACTACCATAATCTAGCTGTGAGTTCAATACAATAAACTGATAACAAAATGCAGAGAGTCCAGGAACTAAGAAAAGAAGGTCTGGACAAGAATCCAGAGACAGTTGCCTTTTAGTAACAAGTCTGGTACGCAGTCACGGCATAGCCTGTGAGACTGGACAAACTTTACAGCCAGCTGGTTGATCCCTTCAGAGCATACGCTGAACTGCCACAGAAATAGCTAAGTGCCCAAGGGGATGAGCGGAAGTCAAGTTTGTCAAAGAGCATTCCTTCAGGTGTTCAGATGCTGCTGTGCCCTGAGTACACACACAATCCCTCATAGCCCTCCCAAGGCATCAGTTCCAACACCAGAGGGCTGTGTGTGCGTGCGTGCATGCATGTGTTTGTGTATTCTGAGCAGCACACAGCTCCCTGGGGACATGGTACAAGTCTGACATGTGACCCGCCCCTTTCTGTGATCCTGGG